CACACACACACAAAAACCATTTTTCAACAACAAAGAACAACCCCCATCGGCCCTCATTAAATCCCACACACACACACTCACATTATCTTGCTGCTCAGCATCCGCGCGTTCATCAGTGTGTTCGTTCGCCTGACTGTCCATGGCCGACTGTCGTATTTGTTCCACCAATCGTGAGTGTCTTTTGCAAAGCTGGGAAAACAGACTGTGGAAGGGTAGAAAAAAAAACCCAACCTGACTTATACAGTGTGGGTGGTTGCGGGTGCTCTGGTGTAGTTTGATCCTTCTTTCCTATCAAACATCTATCGTCTTGATCTCCCCTTCTTCTCATTTATGTTTGTTACTCTCTTGTAACACCTCTAATCTTCTGGCGCTCATATGACCTAATGCGGTTGCGAGCGCCGTAAAACCTCTACTAAAACTAAAACTGATCTCTCCTCCTTTTTTGTGTTTGTTACTCTCTTGTAACACCTTTCATCTTCAGCACTTATATGACCTTATTGTGTTGCAAGTGCCGTTAAATATTTTACTAAAACTTTAAAACACTGACTTATACTGTGTATTGAAAAAAAAATTTATGTAATTGTGAGACGGGATTATACAGACATGTTATTTCTTTACATTAAGTCCTTTGGACATAGATAGATACTTCAATTTTATAGATTGGGTTTTTAGTTCGAGTAGAGTTTTACAGCACTTGCAACACAATAAGATAAGATAAGATAACACTTTATTATCCCAGAGGGATATTTTTCTTAGCCGTACGTCAGGTTTTACTATCATATCCATACGACGTGGGGAACTGTGCCACCACTTTCCAAAAGAGGAAATTTACTTGTTAATCCGATCCGTATGCTTGCATAGCAGTCTGTCAAAATGATTTTTTGAGAAATACAGAAAGATTCAGAGATCTTCGTACTAGAAGAATTCTAAAATGTGAAGATTACAACCCCAGCAGGGATACAAAATGACCCCAGGGCGTACGGATAGGGTTAAGCAATTTATCACAAGAAATGATAAAAGACATATCAAACTTGAAGAAAAAGGCATCAGTTGAAAACCCATAATTTTGATGTGTTGACTTTTGGCTGACATCTCCATCGTGGATGGCGACAAGTAACTCATTTTGTACACACCACTTACTATTGTAGACGCGCACACACACACAAGCATGTGCACACACACACACACACACACACACACACACACACACACACACACACACAC